AGCGCGACACTGACGGCACCCGATAGTTCAGAAGAAAATGAGCCGTCACAGAAAGGGCACAATCCCGTTGGTTTTCAAAACGTTGTACAATATCATCAACCAATTGTAGACAGATAACATCCAAATAACAATGACCGATGATCTATCGGTTCCCTGTCGGCAACGACTGTGGTGTGGAAGTAATCTATCGGAACCAGGACAACAGAAGTGAGTTGGAACTTGTGAGAACGATAACCCTGATGAATCGGGACCGCATATCTCTTGTTTTATGCAAAAGGGAAGGGGGGGTAGGGTGGGTGGGTGTGGTGTGGTGTGGTGAGGCGGAAAAGGACCACAAACACACGCACATGGGAGAGAACAAACAGAATTCATGATAGACGGTATCTCACAAGTTAAAAAAAGTCATACACACAAGAAAAGAACAACGGGAAGCAGATAAACTCGGAGGTGAAGTGGCAAGTAAAAAAGGAGCTGAGCCGGTACCCCCTCCCGCTCCAGCCCCGCCAAAAACCACACATGGAAAAGAGAACATAAAAAGGCATAAAGTAGACAAATAGGTAGGTAGACACAATAGTAGGTAGTTGGCGCTTGGGTCCCTCCCCCTTGTCCGAATTGTCACCGAAAAATGGCATCGTCTGTACGGGCACAGCCGAACAGAATCCGTTCATCAAACTACGCGGAATAAAGGATCCGAACAGCAAACAATTATAGACGATCTGAGTGCGGCTGTGCGAACCGGCGATGACGTATCTGAGATGTGGTGAAAAACTAGAGACAGGCAGAGCGAGAGCGAGCAAACTTCTTGAAAACGAAGGCAAGATGAGGAATCACAAGCACAAAATGTCCCTCAATCGAATGTGGGCGCTTTCGTGGGACCAAAAAGGGAAAAACAGAACAGATGATCAACCAAGCCCCTAGTGTCTGTGGGAGGAGGGGATGAAGGAACAAAAAAAAATCCTGACCAAACGATCAACAATAATTAGGGAAGGCAACCGAAAGATATTATCATTTTTTAGAGAGAGAGAGAGAGAATCCCTGAACAATATATAATTCATGGTGCAAAAATAGGGACAAGGGCGGGGGGGGGGTGGCCAAGAAGGCGAATCAAAGTGCACATGTACAGGAATACATAGAGAGAGAGTTATGAATCAAAATATCAAGAGAACAACGGGATCGGGCAGTTTAAAATGAGCGGAACCGGGAGGCACAGGGAAGGACATTCGGAACGAATGTGTGTGTGTGTGTGTGTCTGTACTATGAGGTAGTGTCGTGTGCAAACAACAGTTTACTCAGTGTGTGTGTGTGGGCGAAGAATAAAAACGAGTGAAAGCAGAAACAGTACGAATTCCCTGCCGTGATGCGGCGTCTGATAAAAAAACAGTGTTAGACCTGATCTGTGAGGCCAAAGGGAGCACACACACACACACACGCGCACGCACAAACATCCGCTATGGGAGAAGCAGATAGTGTGCCCGTTAGGTGGCAAGATTCGGGTTTGGTTGAAAATGGGCAAGATTTTTCAGGTGTGGCGCACTGAAATTTGTGTGTATAAAACCAGTGAGGCATAACAATGATGGAGAAATAGCACACTGTGATAGGCCATCCGAACCTGAGACAGAGAGGAAGAAGTGTGACCGAGGGGTGAGGATCGCTTGGAGAGAAGGTCGAGTGAACCACGATTGTCAACAATCGGACACGTGCCGTAGATCGACAGGTCTCGAACAGTCAGTGGCATGACAACCGACGGTGCCGCGTCAGAACATACTGGAACGGGGAGGGGGGGGCTGGGAGAGAGAGAGAATGGGATTACGATGTGCAAACTTCAGGGGTGAGGTGGGGCAAGATAAGTTTGCCGATAGGCGCGTTTGGCTTCGCATCACGCAGGTCATTCTTGAATCCGATGAAATACCGAAAACAAGGGACGGAAATGCGAACCGATGGAGCGGGTGAGGATAATGAGTTGCGACGGCGCGAATGAATGACATTCAGGATTGGGTCACCAGCAGGCGAAGTTCCGGCAGCGAAATACGTGTATGAATCAGGTGAAATAATCACTGGGACAGGGAAGAGTCAGAGAGCGCGAGCGAGAGAAAGTTCAATGGGACAAGAACGAACAAATAGAGAACAGACAGATGGGGAGGACCGCAAAAAATCGCGATAGGTGTAAAAAGACATATGGTGGTGGTGGTGGTTGTACAAACACAAACGTGCGTGTGTGTGTGTGTGTATATATGTATACCTGAGTCCAAGGGAACCGTGGTGGGGATCAAAAAACAGAGGCGTAAAAATAAGTTTCTGAAGAGAGAGAGAGAGAGTGAGTGAGTGAATGAGTGCGTTTCAAACGAATGCAGTTTTTATTCGGTTCAGAGAGATGGAGAGAACGCCACCAACAACAAGAAAAATGAGGGAATAAGGACAGAAAACGATCAAATCCAAGGCTATGCGAACATCGTGACGAGGAGTGGTGTTGAGAAGTCCAGATGGGGACTGGCAAGAGTAAATATGTGAAACGAGGATAGACAGTGGTAAAAGTAAAACAATTGAGTCTGGTTTGGGGTAGTTTCCCTCCCCCATATCCGTTTGAACGGAGGGCAAATGAACCTGAGAATTTACGCTGATACAAGAAGAAGAAGAAGAACGGGAACAGGGTTAGAGGCGCTGAACTTTAGGTCTAGTGTGTCATAAAAAAAGGAATAGTGAACAAGGGCTTTAAAGATGGCCAGCCAAATAATTACTAGATATACATGGCAATCAGGGATGTATTGAGGCGCTCTTATCCATGATGTGTAATCGATCGATCTCCAGGATATCCGAAACCGGTCAAGATGGAGGTGGATGTGTTTGTGCAGGGAAGAAAAAGGATGATGCTGGACTGGTGAAATACGGACCGGCGCTTGCATGTCGCTGAGATGATGGGTAGGCAATACCGGTCAACATATCGGATCGGGACAGCAATGCTGGTGTAGGACTGAGGGGCTCCAACTGAGTGGTAGACTGATGATGATGATAAACAGCCGATGGTGTAGCTGAAAAGTGTTGTTGCTGATGCTGTTGTTGTTGTTGTTGTTGTTGTTGTTGTTGAGCCGTCTGGGACAAGGATGAGGCTTCGGCTGCCACGGCAGCTACCGCAGCCATTGCGGCAGGAACGGCCAAAACGAGTCTA